ATGATTTGGGAATAAAAAATGTTCTGTGAACCATTTTTTAAAAACTACAGGGGCTAAGTTTTGTTTTTAACTGGTAACACTCTACTGAGAGGGAGATGTGTTGGCTCATAGTCACCTGTCATTCATTAGACCTGATCACAAATGCTATCGTTCTGCTGCGCCTGGTCAGCAAGGCAGCTTTGGAGGATCTGCTTTGGATGTGAGTGACTTCTTCCTGATGCCTTTTTTACCACCCTCTTGTATGTAGGTATATTATAGCTAAAAATCTGCCTGTTTGTCACTGTCTTAGTTTGAGTTCCCCAGAAGCTAACCCTAGGACAAAGATTCAAGTGCAAGAAATTTATTTGAAAAGTGATTCCAGGAGACACTGGTAGGGAAGAGAGACAGGGAAGGAAAATTATCAAAAAAATTATTATGACCAAGCAAGTTACTGGAGTGTGATACCACAGATGAACTCTGGGAAACAGGGTATTACACAAATCTCAGAGTTATTGCAGCTGAGGAGTGAGGAATTTGGGATATTTATATGCAATTTCCATCATTCATTGGTTGAGGGCCATTCCTATGTAACATTACTTTTATAACCATATGGAGAAAATGAACCTTAATTCCTACTTCATTTTCTATAAACAATGTAATGCAAGAAAGAGCATATGCCTACCCTGGCTGGGCGGCTCAGTTGGTTGGAGCATTATCCCATATACTAAAAGGTTGCAGGTTCCATCCCCAGTAGGGGTGTGTGCAGGAGGCAACTGATTGATGCTTCTCTTTCACATCACTGTTTTTTCTCTCCCTCTCTCAAATCAATAAAAAAACAAAAAACAAAAGAAAACCCAAAACATATCCTCAGGTAAGGATTAAAAGAAAGAAAAAAGAAAGAGCATATGCCTAGATGTAAGAGTTAGAATATAAAGTATCTAGAAAAAATCACAGGAGAGTATGTATACAACCATAGGGTAGGCAGATTTCTTAGGCAGGACACAGAAAGTCCTGAAAAAAAGCACCTGAAATATAATAAATTGGACTTCAGTCAGAATAAAATATTTCTGTTCTCTGAAAAACATTAATAAGAAAATGAAAAGGCAAGTCATAGAATAAGAAATAATACTTTCAATACATATATCTCACCAAAGACAGTATCCAGCATATGTAAAGAACTCCTACAAATCAATAATAACAAAAAAATTTGAGCAGATATTTTACAGAATAAGATATATAAATGGCCAGTAAGCCATTTGAAATTGGGCTTAACATTATTCAGCATCAGGGAAATGCAAATTAATGAGATATTACTATACATACTAGAGCTGCTAAAACTAAAAGGACTTGACAATGCAAATGTCAATGAGAATAATTGGAACTCTCATATTTTGCTGGTAGAAATGCAAAATGATACAATCACTATGAACTCTTTGGCATTTTTTTTTTTAAATAGGGCTAAACATATATTTCTTTAGACCCAGCAATTCCACTCCTAGGTGTATAGTGAAGACAAATAATAGCATATCTACAAAAAAGACTGGTACAAAAATGTTTATAATAGCTTAAAAAACAAACAAACAAAAACAGTAAACAACCCACACATTCATCAACAGGTGAAGAACAAACAAACTGTGATATTATCTTACAATAGAATGTTATTCAGTAGTAAAAAGGGATGAACTACTGATACATACAACAACATGGATAAAGCTAAAAGATATTTACACTGGGCAAAAGAAACAAATACAAAACAGTGTATTCTGTATGGTTTCATATATATTAAGTCCAGGAACAGAAAAGCCAAGCTATTGTGGTAAAAATTAGACCAGTGGTTGCCCATGGAGTTGGAGATTGACTAGAAGGAGGAACTCCTAAGGGAATTTGGAGCTTTTCAAAATGTTCTATATCTTGTTTTGAATGGTGGTTACATGAGTGTATATAGATGTCAAATTTCACCTAATTGAACATGTAAGATCTGTGCTTTTTATTATGTAAAATTATACCCTAATAAATACAGATTTGTCTTTTTAAAAAAAACACACACACGCCCTGGCCAGTTTGGCTCAGTGGTTAGAGCGTCGGCCTGCGGTCTGGAGAGACCCGGGTTCGGTTCCCGCTAAGGGCACGTACTTCGGCTGCAGTTTGTCCCCGGCCCTGGTTGGTCGTGCGGGTGGCAGCCACTCGATGTGTCCCTTCACGTCAATGTTTCTCTCTCTCTCTCCCTCTCACTCTATCTGTACAAAAAATGGAAAAATATCCTCGGGTGAGGATAAAAAAAAAAAAAAAACACACACACACAATGGCCATTAAAAATATGAAGTAATTTGTTTCATGTTCTGTCTTCCCACTTAAATGTAAGCTTCAGGAAGTCAAAAGCCGCATGTTTTAGTGTCTACTGTATCCTCAGCACCTAGTACAGTGTCTGGGATCTCTTGAATACTCATCACATTTGTAAGTATCATAGGTTTTTAAAGACCCTCTGTTATGCCCAGCCGGTGTGGCTCACTGGTTGAGCATCGACCCATGCACCAAGAGGTCACTGGTTGGATTCCCGGTCAGGGCACATGCCTAGGTTGTGGGCCCAGTCCCCAATGGGGGTCATGCAGGAGGCGGCCAATCGATGTTCTCGCTCATCAATGTTTCTCTCTCTCATTCTCCTTTCCTCTCTCTAAAAGCAATAAAGAAAAAATATTTTAAAAAATAAAAAAAAAGAGCCTTGTTATAAATTGTGGGTTTTTTTTACCTCCCTTTGCAGACATGATCTGTTCTTGGCAGATGCTGGTTGCCCCAGAAGCTCAAGCATAGGTGCATTGTCTAGGAAGGTGGGAACCCAGCAGGGCCCTGGGTGTCCTTGGGCACTGACAGGGTCCCAACTGTGAGCACCATCTGTTCCTGTGAAGGGTGTCTGACAGCATCCGCAGCCCTGCACCTGGAGGTGAGCACCTCTGAGGCCAAATGTCAGATTCCCAGTCCCATCCTCCCGCCTGTAGGGAGCCAAGGAAAGTCATTTTAACTCTGCAAAAAGAAAGTACCAACATGTGTGCTGCTTTGAAATTTACCAAGTATTTTCCAACAAATATTCTTATTTTATCCTCCCTGTGAGCCTGAAAGGTATTTACCAACCCTATTTTACAGAGAGGTTAAGTGACTTCCCCCAAGGTCACACAGCTGGCAAGTGGTAAAACTGGGCTTGAATCCAAGTTTCTGACCATTTACTATTATATTAAATGTAGTACTGCTGTGTCATTTAAGGACTTCCAGCAATTTCTGAAATCTGACCCCTTCAAGCTGTTCTGAACTAATGGAAAGATAAGTAACAAGTATCCCTTGCCTTGAATAAATTTCAAGAGCAATTTATTCTATATGCCCCTGAAAGGTTAGCCTTCCTGGACAACCATTACAATAGTGTCACTGACCCATGCAAATTTTCCATGCTCCTCACTACTCTTCTTAGCTACTGTTCAGTGCTCTTCTGCCCAACTCACCTTTGTGGCCTCATCCCTAAAAAACCTTGCATTCTGGCTGTATGCCACTATCCTCATCTCTGCAACTTTTGTTCCCCAACTTGCTCTCCATTTGGAATACTAGTTTTTTTCCCATCTTCCTATGGGAAACTTTTTCTTACCCTTCAAGTTAAAACTGAAATGTCACTGCCACTCCCTTATGTAGGTGTTTACTTCATCTGAATCCTTTGAGCACACGGTTTATACCTTTCACATGGCACTGTCAGGTACCATAAATATCTCTCTGTCTTCCTTAGTAGATCCTGAGGTCCTAAAAGGTTAGATGCATGCCTTACCCATTTTTGTAACCACTGTGGTGACCAGCATAGCTACACATTGTATATATTTAATCAGTACTGTGTAGAGTGATTAAATTACCACCTCTCCAACCATTATCTATGCATTTAATAGCCATACATTAAAAAAAATGTTTGTTGCCCTGGCTGGTTTGGCTTAGCAGTTAGAGAGACAGCCCGCGGACTGGAGAGTCCCAGGTTCACATACCTGGGTTGCAGTTTGTCCCCGCCCTGGTTGGGGTCGTGTGGGTGGCAACCAGTCGATGTTTCTCCCTCCCGATCTGTCTGAAGATAAATGCAAAAAAAAAAAAAAAAAAAGTGTCCTCAAGTGAGGATAATTTAAAAAAAAGTTTGCATTATAACTTTATTTTATGAGTATGGTTAATATATCCTCTATATTCTGTATACATTTCTTCTTGACAGACTGGATGAATACTTAAATTCTTTGCAAATAGGGCGGACACATGGAGAGATTGTGGAATCCACCGTTCTACTCTGGCTGTGCAACCTTGGACAAATTGCTTCTACTCTCAGGACCTTATTTTACTTCCATCTATTCAATAGGAGAAATAATATCTGCTTTGCTTCTTTAATTCATCTCCAGAAATAACAGATGTAGACATGCTCTGTCGACTCCAAATCTCCCAGACCTGCCATTTAGTTGTACCTACTGCTTGAGGCACGCCTTTTGTTGGAGGCAGCATCACATCCAAAAGGCAGCACATCTAAGGGACTGCAGGATGAGGAAGTGATCCCCCTCGAGGCCGCGCTGTGGGCGGTAGAGGTGGGCAGGGTTGTCATCCGAAAGGCTGCTGCGCGAAGGAGAACACGCTTGTCCCGGCAGCCTGGGGGAGCCGCCTTGCCCAGGCATCCGGTTACAGGCGCCGGTCAGTTCCCGGCAATGTCCGTGTCGAAGCGCCAGACCGCGGCGCCTGCTGCCCGAGGGAAGGTGAGGACCTGGAGCTGCAGAGGCGGAACCACCATTAAGCGGTGGCACAGCCCCACGTCAAGTTGGAAGGCACCACCTCCACTTTGTCCACCGAGGGGAGAAAGCTCCTACGCACCAGAGCGACACCCACAACCCGAGAGCCCCCAGCAGGCGTCCTTGGGGCCCACCCATTGGCTTGCACTCAAGGGAAGGGCGGGCTTTAGGGTCACCTCGCTTCCTGATTGATCTGATTGGGAGACGCCTGCCGGCTGTGCGCGCCTGGGGCCGGACATGGCGGAGGCGGGAAAAAAGCAGGCGGGCCTCGGGCTTCCAGGTGGAGACGCAGCACAGTGGCCTCTGCAGCGGTATGGCCGTTTCATGCCCTTGGGCACAGGAGAGCCACCTGGGCCTGGCCTGGAAGCTGGAATGGCCTCTTCCCCTACGTGGAAGGTGAGGCCTGAGGGCAGGAAAGGCCGCGAGGCACTCGCCCCCCCATCCCCCCGCGGGGATGGAGGGAAGACTGCAGGCCCCCGTCATACCTACGGACTGTCCCCGAATGCCACGCGGACAGGAGGAGGGAACACAGGGACTGTCAGGAATGGTTAGCAGACAGCTAGAAAAGAAAATGGATAGATAGCTAAATAGATAAGACATGATTGGAACCCAATACGTTCTCAAATAATATTTATATATTTAATAGATATTTTTGTGCATCAATTATGTGTTGGGGATGCATCAGCGGACAAGATATAAATGGTCTCTATCTTCATTCATGTTTTTAGTCTAGTGGAGAATTAGTATTTATCCAAATATCCCTTATGTGGAAAGGAGGGTTGGAAGGCACCAACCTTCCTTTCCACATAGTCAATGGGCAGCCAAGCATTCACACAGAAGGACATAATTTGAATCCTAGCTTTGCCACTGAATATGTGACCTTGGTGATGTAAATTATCCTCTATGTACCTTAATTACTTTATCTTAAAATAGAAATTATAATAGTACCTACTTCATCAGATTGTTTTATTGAGTATATTTAAATATATAAATCACCTAAACAAATGCCTTGTATAAAGCTACATAAGGGTTTGCTGTTATTACTTTTTTGGCCTGGTGTTATGTTTTAATACTATGGGTTACTAGGCAGCCATTTCATTTTGGCCTAGTTTGACTATTGCATGTGGACCCTGGGGTTTGGGGTTATGCATGTGTATGTATATGTTGGTGTGATTTGGGCAGCACTGGATAGAAGAAAAGTAAAATAGAACAAATATTCCACAACATGTACAAAGGCCCTGCACCTAGAGAAACCTCAGCATGTGTAATGTACATAGAAAAGGAGTAGGACTGGTGCTTATGGAGAACTTGGGGAATGATAGCATGAGATGAGGTTGTTTGGAGAGGTAGGCTGGTGTCTTATGAACATTATTTTAAAACCAATAGGAAGCCACTGAATGGTTTTAAGTAGGAACATTTCACCTTTGAAAGATCACTCTTGCTGAAGTGTAGAGATGAAATTGGAGGGGAATATGAGTAGATTCAGGAAGATCCCTTAGAATGCTATTGCAATGTGGTAAGCAAGAGGTGATAATAACTTAGACTGGAGGGTGGGGTGGGGGGAGAGGAGAGGACGGCAGTAGAGGTGGGAAAATGAGCATATAAAAGCTATCTTTTGGAGGCTGAAAGGACAAGGCTTGGAGATTGATTGGATATGAGTGGTGAGAGTAAAGAACTTCTTGTTTTTTTTTTATCCTCACCCGAGGACATTTTTCAATTTTTTTGTTCAGATAGAGTGGGAGGGAGAGAGGAACAGAGAGAGAAAGAGAAACATCGATGTGAAAGGAACACATCGATTGGCTGCCACCCGCACTACCGACCAGGGCCGGGGACAAACTGCAGCTGAGGTACACACCCTTAGCGGGAACCAAACCTGGGTCTCTCAGGACCGCAGGCCGACGCTCTAACCGCTGAGCCAAACCGGCCAGGGCAACTTCTTGGTTTTTTGCAGGAGCAACTGGGTAGATGGTTCAGGGATGGGAAACATTGACGAACAGTGAGGGAATACTTCAGTTTTGGATGTATTGAGTTTAAATATGTTTATGAAGCATCCAGATGGAGATGTTGAATAGGTAGTTGGGTGTACTGGTCTAGACTGAGTAAAAATGTCAGCACAAAAGTGAGTCATCAGCATGAAGGGGATGTTTATAGTCATGAGATTATCTGAGACCCCAGGACCAAGCCCCAAGGTAGCATTTGTAGGTTAGGTAGAGGGCACAGAGTCTCTAAAGATTGACAAGGGAGAGTTGGGAGGCACCCAGGGGAATGCAGGTCATCAAAGCCTTAGAAAGGTATTTCAAGAGGGAGAGAACAATTCACTTTGTTGAATGATGCTGCAGAGTAAGGGAAAGTGATGACTATAATGTGTCACTGGATTTGGCAACATGAAGGTCCTTACTGTCTACCAGGAGAAATGTTAATAGAGTGAATAGAGTAGAATCCAGATAGGTGTGGGCTGAAGAGTGGCTGGTAAGTGAGGAAGTGGAGCCAGTGTGCATAGTTCTGAGAGACTTTGCTATGAAAATGAGTAGATAGGGCCCTGGCCGGTTTGGCTTAGTGGTTAGAGCGTCAGCCTGCAGTCCACAGAGACCCGGGTTCGGTTTCCGCTAGGGGCGTGTGCCTTGGCAGCAGTTTGTCCCCGGCCCTGGTTGGGTCGTGTGGGTGGCAGCCACTCGATGTGTCCCTTTCACATCGATGTTTCTCTCTCTTCCTCTCTCTCCTTCCCGCTCTGAGTAAAAAATGGAAAAATGTCCTCGGGTGAGGATAAAAAAAAAAAAGAAAGAAAGAAAATGAGTACAGAGGGGGCTTAATGAATTGTTCACCAAATTTTAGAATATTAGAGCTAGGGGCACTACTTAAATCTTAAATATAAATACATCTAGGACCATTAAATACCTAGTTGTACTCTTGTGGAATGCTGTATCCTGAGAAAGTATGGCTGCAGATGCAAAATGAAGTGGATAAAGAGTTAAATTCAAAGATAACTGACCTATAATAGGATCATATATATAAAACAAAATCTGGGGATGTTTGAAGACATTTAGTTTTTTAGACTGCCCAACAGATTCCTTGATACCTTATCTTAACACCCTCTAAACCCATTCTCCTCAGGCATCTGAATTGGGTGCATTGGCTCAGATCCAGCTGTAACACTTAGATTCTTATCCTGCAACCCAGAGGCCCTGGGCATTTGACCATTCTAAGGAGTTGATTGTTATTACATCTTTCCCCTTCTTTTTGCAAAGCTTTTCATAATTGCTTATACAGAAAAGCACTTTTTCAACAGTTATCAAATGTTTGGCATAAAGCCATGGATGGCTACAATGAAAAGAGATGAGGTTAGCTTCTGCAGTACTTTTGAAGAGTGAGCATTTGTACCTTCCTTTGAATCTGTGCTGAACCATTTTACCTGCTGTGATCAGTTACAGCTTAGGTCTGTCATATTTTGTTTTGAAAAACAAAAGAGAAAACAAGATTTGTTCTATTTTGTGTGCACTGTGACTACTGTGCAATAGTAATAATAAGAGATCAACCATCTAAGGAACTGCACAAAGTCCCATGTGAATTTCTTATTTTAAAAATATGATTTACCCTTAGTAAAAAATGTTAGGTGAAGCATAAAAATGTATTATTTGGAGGACAGTCGTTTTGGTCACTCTTTTTCTCTAGGCAACTTTTAAGTTCAGCCTTGGTTGAACCTGTTTTGAGTTGTATTTTGTTTTTTTCTGAAATTATGTGAAGAATCTGATCTCCTAGTATTTCAGTTGTTTAAATACAGAGAAGACTTTCATCATAATGGTCACATGCTAAGGCAAAGATGTTGACTCAAGAGAAAAAAATGAGTAGCACAACAAGAATTTTAAGAGAGGTAAGGTCTAGTCTGAGACATAAATATGCTACATAGAATATCTTATATATGTATATTGATTTGATTTATTTGTCTGAATTGAATTATTCTTATTAAAAATTACTATCTGGAGATAACCACAATTTGGAAGCAAATAAACTTTTTGTAAAACTAAGAAAAATCAGCAGTTTAGAACTATGCTTCTCAGACTTCAATGTGTATAGAAAACACTTGGGGATTCTTTTTTAATGCAAATTCTGACTCAGTAGGATTGATATGAGGAATAAAAGTCTGTGGTTCTAACAAGCTTCCAGGTGATACTGATGCTATTGATCCTAGGACCACATTTTGAGAGGCCAAATTTAAGAAACCCTTAAATGAAATGGGCAGCCATGCAGTAAAATTACTAAAATTACTAAAGTGAATGAGGTAAGGTAATCCACTTCATAATAATATGCAAAAGTTTTACTAAAAGGGTTAATATTTAAACCGTCTGTCATTTAGGGGGAATGAGCAAATAAAATACAAACTTAAATGATTTTAATTCCTTACATTTCTTGGCCCAGCCCTTCTTTATTTTTTAAAAATTTTCCCTTTATATACTTTTAGAGAGAGAGGAAGGGAAAGGGAGAGAGAGATAGAAACATCAATGAGAGAAAACATCGATTGGCCACCTCCTGCACACCCCTCACTGGGGTGGCCTACAACCTGGGCATGTGTCCTGACCAGGAATAGAACTGGTGACCTCTTGGTGCATGGGTCAACCACTGACCCACACCAGCCAGGCAGCCCAGCCCTTCTAAAAAAAAGGTGATCATAATAACAGATTGGCCCTTTAATGTATTTTATGCCTGAATATAATTCATTCTACTAATTTGAGAATAATTTTGAAAGGCAATGTTAATTACAGGTTGCTTTCAAATTAAAGTTTTACTATGTTTTCCAGATTTCATGGATTGCTAGACATGTCCTAATTTGGTTGAACCTGAGTTTTATTTTTTCCTTTCAAAGGGGAAAAAAAATTCTTTAATTTTTATAGAAGGAATTTAAACTAATTGCCCTTCTTAGAAATTAAGAAACAGAATATGAAATTCGTACTTGAACTTTCAAGTGTGAATTCAACATAAGACATATTTTGGGTGCTCTTAACTGTCCTTTTTTTTTTTTTTTTTTTGTATTCCTAGTTCTTACATATTTCCTAGCATATGATAGGTGCTCAGTAAATGTTTGACGAGTGATAACTTCTCTGAATTTTTCTTATGATAATGTAATCATTATGACATAATAGCTATTTATTATTTACTTTGGCATATTTCTTACAATTGCTCTATGAAGCAAATATTATTATACCATTTTATAGATAAGTGAACTAAAACACAGAGAAGTTCAGTGGCTTACCCAGGAACACAAAAATAATAAGTGCAAATAATGAATTCAGACCAAGTTTTCTCTGTTTCCAAAGTGTGTGCTTTTAACCCACTATGTTGTTTGTCTTAGAAGTGTTAATATTTCATATATATATATATATATATATATATATATATATAGT